TGTGTACATGAGTGCAGGTGCCTTGGAGGCCAGAGGAGGGTGCTGGATGCCCTGGAGCTGGTGGGTAGAATCCCTGCAAGGTGGGTGCTGGTTACTGAACTCAAGTCCTCTGTAAAAGCAGTACATGCTCTGAATCTCTGAGCCATCTGTCCAGTAGGAAGATTTATTTTATAAACAAGTGAAAAATAGCTTTAATTTTATATAAGCATTCAAATTTAGATACTTTGAATATAAATAATCCTTTGATATGAAGATTATTTGGTGGGTGCTGGTGCTGGGGGATCAAACCTGGAGCCTCTTCTAGTGTAGTGGCACATGCCTTTAAGTCCATCATTTAGAGAGTAGAAGCTCGCAGATCTCTGTGAGTCCAAGGTCAGCCTGGTCTATACAGTGAGTTCCAGGCTAGCCAAGGCTGCATAGTGAGATCCTTTAAAATATATATAAAATGTAATCTATATAATATGTATATAATGTATATATAATATGTATATATGTATATGATCTGAATTAATGTTCTTCTTGCTAGTACTAGCTTACTTACAAGTAAAAGTGGCACTATACTATATACCCCTGAAGCTGCAGAAACAGACTGAACCAAATGTCAGTATCACATTGTAAACTTCCATTTTGATAATGCTTTTAAAAGCATGCAGAGGAGTCCAGAATCATGGCATACACACCTGTAATTATAGCACTTGGGGGTAAGTCAAGAGTCCCAAGAGTTCCGGTCCAGCCTGGGCTACACAGACTCTACTTCTTAAAAAAAGCATATGTACATATGGCTTATGCAAAAATATGACTATTTATATGTAAGAGAAGATCATTTTTTCCACAAAATATTCAAAGCAAAAATATCTTATGGATTAAAATAAGACTGAATTTATTCTTTACTAAATATTCAAAGCTAATTGCTTTTAGAAAGGTCAGTTTTCTGGGATAGTCAGGAAAGAAAAATAATTTTTGAAGGATTTTATAAGGAAGGAACAGGCCCTGCCAGCACTTTCTTGTTGTTCTCTGCAAGGCAATGAATACCTCACATAGATGCAGATTATTAAATGTCTGCAGAAATACATGAGACGTTTTTTATTTTTTATTTTTTGCTTTAAACAGCATTAAAACAACAGTGAAAATTATGTTAATCAAAAGAAGAGAAACGCAGGAATTTTGCCAAGCATTCCTTCCAAAGGACAGGTGGGTTGCCCTCATTTCCAGTCAAAGAGGGGTGCAGAAAACCTGACACTGTTGTATCTGTGAGCCCCATCTCTGGAGAGAAATGGATGCCTCCAGAAAAGACAGGCAGAGCATCCAGCCTCACCCATCTAGTCCACACTGTTCAACATATGCAGCTTTGCTGTATGGTGACCTGGTACCTGGGGCTAGGATATGTTGACATCATCGCAGAGGCTGCAGGGAAATATTTTAGGGTTGCTGACATTCTGTTTGGACTTGGGACAGAGTCATACCTGCATGTCCATTTGTTAAAGTTGCCAAACAGTTTCATTGAAATGGGTGCATTTTTGTTTGTAAATTGTGCCTCAACTAGGCTTTATTTTTTAGAAATTTAGTATTTATGTGTGTGTGCGTGGGCATACGGAGGTCAGAGAACTTGTGTGAATTGGTTCTCTCCTTCCACCACGTGGATCCCAGGGATTGAACTAAAGTCGTCAGGCTTAGCAGGAAGTGCTTTTACCCACTGAACCAATTCTCTGACCCAGGTATGGTTTAAAAGAAAAATATGATTCTCAGTGTACTGTGTACTTCTTCTGCAGCCTTCTTTACCCCCCCCCCCCCACCATCCCTTTGTCTGACCCAAGACACCATCTCCCTGGAAACTAGTTGGCCACGCCAGGGAATCAAGTAGGCAAATTAATGTAAGAACACCATGATCAAGCAGGCTTCCTCCAAAAGATTCAGGGATGCTTCAACACATATAAATCAACAAATGTAATCCAACATAATAAAAGCAGTTTACACCAAGCCCACAGTCAATATCAACTTAAATGGAGAGAAACTCAAAGCAATTCCACTAAAATTAGGAACAATTCAAGGTTGTCCACTCTCTCTGTACCTATTCAATACAGTACTTGAAGTCTTAGCTACAGCAATAAGACAACTGAAGAAGAACAAGAGCACACAAATAGGAAGGGAAGAAGTCAAAGTATCTTTATTTGCAGATGCTACGATAGTATACGTAAGAGACCTTAAAAATCTTACCAGGAAACTCGTACAGCTAATAAATACCTTCAGCAAAGTAGCAGGATACAAAATTAATATACAAAAATCAATAGCTTTCCTATATACAAATGCCAAATGAACTGAGAAAGGAATCAGGTAAACAATACTTTTCACAATAGCCTCAAAAACATATAATATCTCAGAGTAACTCTAACCAATTAAGTGAAAGACTTGTATAATAAAAACTTTAAGGCACTGAAGAAAGAAATTGAAGAAGATATCAGAAGATGGAAAGATCTCCCATCCTCATGGATCGGTAGGATTAACATAGTAAAAAGGGCCATCCTATCAAAAGTAATCTACAGATTCAATGCAATCTCCATCAAAATTCCAACACAATTCTTCCCAGAACTTGAAAGGGCTATTTTCAGCTTCATGTGGAAACACCAAAACCCCATGATAGCTAAAATACTCCTGAATAAAAAAAGAACTGCTGGAGGTCTCACCATCCCTAACCTCAAATTGTACTACAGAGCCATAGTAATAAAAACAGCATGGTATTGGCACACAAAACAGACGCGTTGATCAATGGAATTGAACTGATGACTCAGATATATATCCACACACCTCTGGACACCTGGGTTTTGGTAAAGAAGCCAGAAATACACACTGGAAATAAAGAGCATCTTCAACAAATGGTGCTGGTCAAACTGGATGACTGAATGTAGAAGAATGCAAATAGATCCATATTTATCACCTGGTACAAAACTCAACTCGAAAGGATCATAGACCTCAATATGAAGCCAGATATACTGAATCTGATAGAAGAGATGGTAGGGAGTAGTCTTGAACTCATTGACACAGGAAAAGACTTTCTGAACAGAACACTGATAGCTCAGGCACTAAGAAAAACAATGAGACCTCATGAAACTCAAAAGCTTCTGTATGTCAAAGGATACCATCAATCGGACAAAGTGGGAGGCTATAGAATGGGAAAAGATTTTTACCAACTACACATCTGATAGAGCACTAATATCTAAAATATATAAAGAACTAAAAACTCTGGACATCAAGAAAACAACCCAATTAAAAAAATGGAGTATAGATACAAAGAGAGAATTCTCAAAAGTGGAAACATAAATGGCCGAGAAGCACTTAAAGAGATGTTCAACATCCTTAGCCATCAGGGAAATGAAAATCAAAACTACTTTGAGATTTTATCTTACATCCCTCAGAATGACCTAGGGCAATAAAGCAAATGGCAGCTCAGGCTGATAAGGGTGTGGAGCGAAGGGGACATTCATCCATTGCTGGTGGGCGTGCAAACTTGTACAGTCACTATGAAATCAGTGTGACAAGTTCTCCAGGAAGCTGGGAATAGATCTATCTCAAGATCCAGCTGCACCACTTGTGATGGTTTGAAAAAATATGGTCCCTACAGGCTCATAGGAGTGGCACTATTAGAAAGTGTGGCCTCGTTGGAGTAGGTGTGGCCTTGGTGGAGAAAGTGCTCACTGGGGGTAGGCTTTGGGGTCTCAGATGCTCAAGCTACACCCAGCGTGTCACTGACATTTTCTGCTCCCTGTGGATCCAGATGTGGAACACTCAGCTACCTCTCCAGCACCATGTCTATCTGCATGCTGCCATGCTTCCTGCTATGACGATAATGGATTAAACCTCTGAGCTGTAAGCCATCCCCAGTTCAATGTTTCCTTTATAAAAGTTGCCGTGGTCATGGTGTCACTTCACAGCAATAGAAATCCTAAGTAAGTACCACTTTTGGACATATACACAAAGGAGTCTACATCCTACTACAGAGACACTTGCTCATTCATATTCATTGCTGCTCTATTCATAAGAATCAGAAATTGAAAATAGACTAGATGTCTGCTAATGGACAAATGAAATAAAAAAATGAGATGGATCCCATGGCTGACACTGCTCAGGTGGCCAAGAACCTGAGACTAGATAGGCCAGGGAACTAGGAGAAAACCAACTACTATTGTTCATATATATGCTATTGTTCCTATAGTATATGTATACTATTGTTCATATGTATAATATAATATATAGACTTCTATGTTATATTCATATTACATCTTAATATATAATATGTATTATACATATACACATAAATACATAGATATAGCTAGATCAATAAAATGACTCCTAAAGGCATTCTGCTATATTCATAGGTCAGTGTTCTTGCTCGGCCATCATCAGAGAAACTGCCTCCTGAAGAAGAGAACAAATACAGAGACCCATAGCTGGACAATGTGTAGAGAGTGAGAGATCTCAAGGACTCAGTACTAAATGGGATGTCTCTATCTAATCCCTCCCTCAGGGAACCCTGAGAAAAGGAGGTCAAAAGATACTAAGAGCCAGAGGGAATGGAGGCACAGGTCTGGGCCAGATGGCTCCCAGCATTGAGAAAGGAAGGACACCCCCCCCCATACACACACAACCCAGAAGCTATTCCCCCATTGAACTCTCCCTTCACATTGCCCGATGACATTTTACTTTTTTAACTGAAAATAGTTTTTTTTCAAGCTGGGCGATAGCAGCGCATGCCTTTAATCCCAGCACTCAGGAGGCAGAGGCAGGCGGATCTCTGAGTTCGAGACCAGCCTGTTCTACAGAGCGAGTTCCAGGACAGTCAGGGCTACACAGAAAGACCCTGTCTCGAACACACCCCCTCCCCCCAAAAAGTCATATTTTAAATAGTAAAAAGGAATAAGAAAAAAAATACCACCCCCTAGGAATGCAGACAAAGCAAAAGTGATAAAGTTGTCACTAGCTGAGTGCGGCGAGTGTTCAGTACTTACAAATCAACCAGATTGCATTGGGGTCAGCCGTTCATCCCAGGTTTGTCCCTGTCTTGCATAGCGTGTGACAAACTCAGTTAGATGAAGAATTAGAGGAGGTTCCTACAGAGGAGGAGGAGGCGTGGTGCAGACATCTGCACTCCTCAACGCGGCTTTCAGCCTCAGCTCCTAGCTGGCTGGTTAAGTATCTCGTGAAAGGCCCATCCCTGCTACCTACAGGTAAAAGTTCCAAAAGGTGGAGCAGAGACTGAATCCCAGACCTTAGCCGAAGGGCACACAACACTTGGAGAGACAGCAGGAACCCAGAGCAGCAAACTATAGTTTGCGGGGGGGGGGGGGGGGGGGGGGGGGGGGGGGGGCTCCGAAAGGGGCGGGCCTTATAGGCGTGGTTTTCGGGAAAGAAAGGCCTTGAAAGGTAGGGTTTGTGGGCGTGGCTTAGTAAAAGACAGCGAGTAGCGTGGATAGAGGTGGGGTCTTGGAAAGAGGTGCGGAGGCCGAGGGAGGGGCTTCGAGGATCAGGCTTTTGGAGGGGGAAGTAGGTGGGGAATTTAATGATCCGCACGAGGCTGGCTTAGTGTCGGGGAGGCGGGGCTACCGTATCGCATTTCCTACAAACATGTCCTTCTTCTCTTGCCGTAGGGCGAAACCGGAAGTTCCTAGGAAGAGTGCTTTAAAGTTCCGGAATAGAGCCGGCACCATGTGGGAGCTGTTCTGAAGAGTGTTGGTTGTCGAATCCTGCTGTTATTCCGAGTTCAGGGTGAGGAGGAGCACGGTGCGGCCATGAGCAGCCGCGGCTTGGGACGGGTTGCCAGGGTGGGCCTTGCAGCCGTGGTCCCCGGGTTGGGGAAAGCATGTGTTGCCGAGGTATAGTTAATGCTGTTACCGTGGTGATTGAGTTTCGCGGGTTCTGGAGTGCCTGGGCGGCGGGTTTCTGTGTCCTCGAGCGTACTGAGCGCGGTGTTGCCGGTACATGAGGCCTGTGCTGCTAAGTTAAGCCGCTTGAAGTTTCGAAAAAAACTTTCCACGATGTTTGTTCTTAGCCTGTGTTTTGAGACATCCGCTCCCTTGCAAGATGACGTCCTTAGCCCAGCAACTCCAGCGACTCGCCCTCCCTCAAACTGATCCCAGCCTCCTATCTAGACATGAAGTTGCCTCTCTGTTGTTTGACCCCAAGGAAGCGGCCACCATCGACAGGGACACCGCCTTTGCCATCGGTGAGCCCCCTTTCATTTAACAAAGCTCCTGGAGCAATGGTATCGGGGGCTTTATCTGTGTTTTCTTGTCTTCTACGCTGTTCGCTTCCCGAGCAGTTTCTAACTTTGTCTTGTTAAGGGGGAAAAAAGCAATCTTGCTAGATGCTTGAATGTATTTATAAATAGTGGTATCTTAAATTTCACAAAGCAACTAATATGTAAAAAGGAAGAAAAGTAAGGAGACTGAGACAATGACAGGTGTGGGAGGAGTTCCAGAACTGAGTGTAGTTATACTAAGGATTGAAAAGAGGGGTTGGGATGTAGTTCTTGGCATGAAGTACTTTCTCTTCTAGTGAGTGAGATCAGTTTATCCTGTACATAAAACCTAAAAGCAACGTTTGTGAGTGCATTACACATTCTAGCAGAGTTCTTGGACTTAGGGGTAAGGAAAACTGTAGAAGAATATCTGTTGAGTTTGCTTACAAAGAAGTTACAGGTGACTCTTCTTCTAGGATGCACTGGCCTGGAGGAACTTCTTGGAATTGACCCTGCCTTTGAACAGTTTGAAGCACCATTGTTCAGCCAGCTAGCAAAAACCTTGGAGCGCAGCGTTCAGACCAAAGCAGTGAACAAACAGCTGGATGAAAACATTTCGTTGTTTCTCATTCACCTGTCTCCTTATTTCCTGCTTAAGCCAGCCCAGAAGTGTCTGGAATGGTTGATTCACAGGTAGCTAACCATGTTAATCCTTTACAGACTTAAATAGTTGCGAACACTTGCTAAAGCTGTGTTGTTAGCTGTAGCTGACTTAGAAGATTAATATATGATGTCTAGAATGTGAAGTGAGCATACTCTTATGTTAAACATGCAGGTCTTGAGTCAAATGGCCTATTTAGCATGTTTAGTTTTTTTGGGTTTTGTGGTGTTTGTTTGTTTTTTGAGACAGGGTCTCACTGTGTATCTCTGGTTGACATTAAACTCACAGACATCTGCCCTTTCCTCCCCAATGCTGGGATTAAAGGCATATGTCGTCACTCTTATCTAGTTTTGTTTTGGGTAGGGTCTCATTATACAGCTTGAGCTGCTTTTTAACTAAATTACTTCCTTACTTCTTTCTTTTTTCAGAATGTGTTTTTCTATGTGGTCCTGTCTGGCTTGGAACTCACTATGTAAATCAGGTTGACTTCAAACCCATGAATCTGCCTGCTTTTGCCTCCCAAGTCCTGAGATTAAGGCTTTGAACTAACACTCTCTCTCTCTCTCTCTCTCTCTCTCTCTCTCTCTCTCTCTCTCTCTCTCTCTCTCCAGGGTTTCTCTGTGTAGTTTTGTGCCTGTCCTGGATCTCGCTCTGTAGACCAGGCTGGCCTCAAACTCACAGAGATCCCTGGGATTAAAGGCATGCACCACCACTGCCTGGCAAGACTTTGAACTCTTGCTCCTACCTCAGTACTGTGGTTATAGGCGTGTGCTATCAGACCAGACTTAACTTCATTAGTTCTAAGGAGCAATGTACTTTACCATTGCAGATTCATTCACAAGGACAAAACTATTAAATTCTTTCTTACCACACTAGAGGTTAAGACTATCCTTTAAAATATCAATCCAAATCAAGTAGTATTAGTGATGTGTGGTAAGCATGTACATAACCAGATCCTGTACTGTACTGTGTGGATGCTAGGAACCAAACTTTTGACGTCTGCAAGAGCAGCAAGTCCTCTAAATGGCTGAGCCTTCGCTCCAGCCTCTTTTCACGTAACTTTTATTCAGCAAATGTTAAGTGTGATAAAAATACCTGTAAGTTGTCCTTGGTGACTGTCTTTAAATAAATACCTTAATAAAAGTTTACACAAGATTTAGAGAGTTAGCTATGCCAGGATTTGTTGAGAAAGTTTCATGCAAGTAGTGTCTTGGTTAATATTAAATAAAGCCTGTATAAGATTAATAGGAAGCAAGGTCTATTAAGAGTACTTGTAGGAGCTAAGGAAAGGGCTCAGTGGTGAAGAGTGTTCACTGTTATCAAAGAGGGCTTAGATTGGATTCTCAGCACTCATATCGGGGGATATTCGATCACACCATGAATCCCGAGTTTGCATTGCATTAATTAAATAAAATTAACTTTGGGTCAGAAGTCTGCATAAGCAACTAGTTGACAGAAAGCAATCATAGAACCTCAGAAGGCATCCAGGAGAGAGACACAGGAAATAGTAGGGTGGGGTTTGGAGTGGCACAGCTTTTCTGGTTTGGTGAAGTGGAAGCACGGCTCTTTCCACTCCACTCTTTTCACTCCAGCAAGGAAGGAAGGCTAGCTAATTGTAACCCAGCCTCTCTGAGCTAGCAGGTTTTCACCCCAGCCTCCGAATTCTGAGTCTTATTTGTAAATAGAATGATAGAGATTTAGTTAAAGCTGCCTTTAGCAACAGCGACAGAGCCAGTGCCTTCAGGAACAGGATTCCCACCAGGCTGCTGCCTGAGTGGCCAGGCCGCTGCTAGAGAAGCAGGCCGGTAACTTCGGAGCTGCAATTGCTGAAATAGTAGATTAAGGTGCAGCCACTGTGCCAGAGGTAAAACAACAACTTACAGCTACCTATAACTCCAGTTCCAGGGGATCCAGTGCCCTCTGACCTTTGTGGGCAAGTGTATGCATGTGGTGCACAGGCTCATGTGGGCACTACATATAATCTTTTTTTTTAAGTACATGTGAAAGAACAGAACAGCTTAGATATGAGCAGTCTCACTTGGAGAGAATCAGGCAAAGCACTAGAGGAGAGCTGGATTATATGGTTTGGGAAGGGTTCAATGAACCTGACAGAAAAAAATGAATGCTTCTTAACATTCTTAGCATACAAGGACTGACAAACAGCTTTTTCAAATTATGTGTGGTTGTCATTTTTTTTCTATCTGAAGAAATTAATGTGATTTTATTATCTTTTGGTTTTCATGGGACATGGTAGCACATGTCTTTAGTCCCATCACTTGGGAGGCAGAGACAGGCAGATCTCTTGAGTTCAAGGCCATCCTGGTCTACAAAGTGAGTTCTAGAACAACCAGGACTACACAGAGAAACCTTGTCTCGAAAAAACAATCAAAATTATTATTATTATTATTATTATTATTATTTGAAGTATGGTGGTTAGGAAAGTTGTAGAAGGTAACTGGAACACACATAAACCTAACAATTGTTGTCTTGTTAACCAGTTAGTTTTCTGTGGTTTGATGATGATGATCACACAGTTTCATTGAATTGAAAGTGAATAGGATATAAATTTTGATACTAAATATTCAAAATGTTATTGCCTCAGAATTGATTGAACCATGTTGAATCAAACTTGAATGCAAAATAGAGGGTTTATTATCTAAGTAGTATTTATCTTGTTGAGATTGATACTCATTCTAAGTCTTTGTACTTCATTGAGACAGGATCTGGACCTTTTAGAAACATGTGCCTGCCAGGCATGGTGATACACTCTTGGGAAGCACAGGCAGGTGGATCTCTGTGAGTTTCTCTGTGAGACAAGGCCATCCTGGTCTTGTCTACATAGCAAGTTTCATGCCAGGCAGGGCTACACAGTGAGACTGTCAAAAGAAAAAAGAAAGAACAAAAGCAAGTACTTGTGAACTTTGTATTTTGTGTTGATTTTAATTGTTTCATATTTTTCCTAGGTTCCACATCCATCTTTACAATCCCGATAGTCTGATTGCTTGTGTTCTGCCATACCATGAGACACGGGTATTTGTGAGGGTGATACAGCTTCTAAAAATTAGTAATCCAAAACACAAATGGTTTTGGCTATCTCCTGTTAAGGTAAGATTGTTAAATACCATATTCATTCATGTATATAATTATTATAAATCATGATTAAGGTTTTTTGTTTTGTTTTTGCTTTTTTGTTGTTGTTTGTTTTGTTTTGAGACAGGGTCTCACTGTAAAGCCTTGGCTGGCCTTAACTCACAGAGATCCACCCTCTTCCTCCGTAGTTACTTGGCTAGTTTTGTTTTGGGGGTAGAGTCTCACTGTATAGCCCAAGCTGGTTTTGAACTTTCTCATTTTGAGAAAAGTTCTCTCTGTGTAGCCCTGCCTGGCCTGAAACTCTCCATGTAGATCAGACTGACCTCAGAGTCACAGATCTGCCT